ACCGAAAGGTTTTCATAGCTAGCTAGCTATACTTACACGTTAAAGTTTCTAAATATTTTTAGCAAAACAGAGGCGTGGCGACCGCGAGACCTTCTAATTTACAGCGAAGCCACAACACAGCGCTCATAGGGGCATGCTGCGGGTACAAACCGCGTCACATACACCACACTAGAAAGATTAGGTTTTGCACACTATAAATATCTTAAATTGTTTAGATTCAGATGAAAAATAATTTTGTCCGTCTGTAAAAATCGTGAACACAACGACACACTTTTCAATTTTCATTCATGAAAATAATGAAAATTATAATTCGTATCGTACTCAACATGGGTAAAATTTTTGTTAAATTGTTTTTTTAGTACATAATATTAATCTTTATCCTGAAAATGTTACCTGACTACTAGAGTAGTCACTAGTCACGTACACATGAGAGGTCTGGGTGGATTGAACGATGTCTGAAAAACGGTTTCAAGCGTAGGTACGACGAACGGAGTAGCTGGTGCAGCTAGTGATTCATAAAGAAAATGATACTAGACACAATTACCAATAATTGATATTGGCCTCGTGAGATCCTGTCCACTTGTAAGTCTGACACCATTCTGAGACGCAAAAATCGCACCGCGCGCCTTAGCCTTCGGAAACGAAGCAAGCGCATACATAATTAATACTCATACACCTAAACTTTGCAGTCATAGTTCACATTCTAACCTCTGCGTGAGTTTCTTGTGGTAGTTGTCTATTTTTGGTGTTTGCTTATGATTTCCTATTTACAACTTTTACCTAAAAAAACGGAACTCGTTTATGATCACATGCGTCTGTCTACTAGCTCTAGATAACCATAATTAATTTGGTTTAAACATGTAGTTTGTTTACATAAAGAAGCACTTATTATGTTAATAGAGGTAACTTTTGGGGATCAGCTAGGAACTTGTAGCAAACTGAATTGCATTTGTAGCCGCAATTCCGTAGTGTTGCGGAACCCATTGCATCCGATTTTAACTTTCATTTGACCGTATGATTATTTGTGCAAGTTATAAATTGCATCTAAATGTGTGTACAGGTATTGTTCATACATGCGCGGCTCTACGGTTTCCTCTTTTTCGTTCGTTTATTTCGACTAAAGCAGGACCTTACAAGGCAGCTGATTTCATTGATAGCTGGTGCTTTTCGCTATAGAAAATGAGGTTTTATCTAGTATTTTTTATCGCCGCAGGTTGTGAGACCGGTTTTATGTAGATATGAAATTTGAGGTGGTGGAAGAAAATCGCGTCTAGCACAGAACTAGTCGGCACCGAATATCCCGAGGCGTCAGCGCGGACTTTTTCACGACCTACATGATCGCCGGATCGTGTTACCGTACCTACATAGCTCGTAGAGCCGCGTTCCTTACCCCGGCGGGGACACTGGCGGGTTAGGGGACTCATGCATATGCTACGCTTGGCCCTTGCCGAAGCACCTCCAACACTTAGACTACTCTTTAATTTATTACCTATAATGTTGCTCATATCATGTCAGATCATGCGATTGCTTCACAATCTTGTATTTTAGTTTATGAAACTAAACCGCTTATCATGTATGAGATTGGGTTTAGTAGAGATAGACATCTGGTAAAGGATAAGTAACGTGTGTGTTACTTCAACAACTGCGTACCTATCTTCGTTTTATTCGAATATACTAAGAATATTTCCAAGCGGATTAAATTGTAAACTCGCGCTCGCGTCAGAATTCACTTATCATTGCTTGGGTTAAGAGATCATCGCCGCGTGCTGTAGGCAGAGCAGCTCCAGCCGGCGAGAGCTAACGGGACGCGTAGCGGTTCATCGCCGATGTTCTGGACAGGGTGGTTTCAGAACTTTCATAATCGCCTAACTGTTTACGTTACATTAACATTTTACTGTTGCTGATTAATATTCCACCGCTTTAGCGCATTCCGCCGCTACAGTAACACGTCCCATTACGATATCGGGTATTTTTTTCAATTGCACAAATGACATGACCGCTTGGGGACCTTGAATAGTATCTTTGTCTTTACGGGCCACAAACAAAGTCACCATTTACTAAATAAATATAATTTGCATCTGTAATGAGGCACATACATCTCAAGGTTAAGCATAGCAGGCATCGCCAGTCCCCGAGTGCCTTGAAAGGATGCTTCATTTAGCGGGTAATAAAATATGCATGTCCTAGTGTTATCTTCAATGTTGTGGTTTGGGTGCTTTGTATTGCATCATCTACTAAATTGGTTCGCAGGAAAACTAATGAATTTGGAAAGCCTAATTGCAAAATTCTGCGTCGTTTATTTACCTATAGATGACTTTTGGCGTATGTTTGTTTCGTTAAATGTAAATATCGTTGGTAATTCGTTTCATGTTCATAACGGTTGGTTGTAAGATTCCTTTTGCTTTTCATACAAGTGTCTAGTCCTGTGTCGTTTGCCACGAGTTCGGTTCAGTCGGATTAGTCTAGCTCCGGGTGAGCGCCGCTGCGTCCGGGCCCCGGCCGTAGCGAAGGACGCACGATGCTGTATAGTTCAGGTCATGGACGCCTCGCTCTCCCCCGGGAACACGGTTGGCGTCTAACCAGATCGATAATTTTGGTATAGGTCATACGGGACACGCTTTTCGCAGCCAGCTCCCAATTAAGTGTGGAAGAGAGGAACAAAGAGTTGTGGTAAACGCCTTTTTGGAGATAGATACAGCACTGTTGCATAGCAAAATCCAGTTGGGGCGTGGAAGTGGCGACGTCAATCAATGGACATACTTTTACACTCGTAGATAGAGGTCACAGTTCACTCAGCACAGTTCATTATTCATAGTGTATGGATTTTTAACTCTGTTTTGCGATTAAACGCTCTGATATCATTTCAAAACAAGTTTTTTCTGGAGTTAATCACTTTTCAATATCAGTATTGAGTTAATTTTAGCTAAAGAGGAAGCAAAGAATACATATAAAAGTTGATTTAAAACAATTAAAAACCTTACGGCAAACTCTTGAAGCTAAGCTCTTATTACAATTCCTTTAGTTCACAAACAGCTTATGAAATCAAACAATTACGTAGAAACAAAAAGTAATATAAAAAGCTTAACTTTCAAACGACGGGCAACACGGGCGATTGCCATTGCCAATGCTTTAGTTGCCGTTTGTTCTGACTATCTAAAAAAATCATAATAATATATGTATTAGTAATCATGTTACTGCACGTGCTCATTAAACTAGTTTTTGTCCCAGCAGGATTCGAATTTGCTACAGGTCTGGTTCCATTGTTTGGTCTATCCCTTTAAAAAGATTTTGCTCCAAAACAAGAAACAGATATGTCTATGGTTCATTTCATCGTTTACATTTATTCACTAAACTCTGAAACTAAAAGTCTGTGTAGTTACGAGAATATTTCTCAATAGTGTATTTTCTCCTTATTGTATGAAAAAGGCAAGAGCAATGTGTGTCACTCGAAACTTTTGTCCAATAAAGCATCCGTAAACAATTTCACAAAGTTCGCATGTTAACTTCAAGTTCAATGTCGCAGTATTGTGTATTCGCTTCCCACTGCGCCCAAAATGCCAAATAACCAGAACTCGTAAAAAGATACTGGGCCGTAATCACATAATTAACCTGGCGTTTTTATTGTTAACGTAAATGAAATCGAAGCATCACAATTAAACGATTAGCATGCCACGAGTTCATTAGGCTAACGATCCCGCGGAATTAAATTAACTGGCGAATTATAAAAACAAACATCAATATGTAATTACTGCCATAACGTGCTGGTAAGCGACATTATTTACATAGTTTCATAAACGTACTACTTGTTTACTATATCGGGTCCAATAATAGTCGGCAATAATTCAAGTGAGCAGTTTTATGAATGGAGCCGTTGAATGCGCCGTTTATGTTTATTACATGTAGCATAATGCGTCCGATGAATGCTTAAAATAGATAGGTCCGATCAGCTGATGCGATCGTCTCGCGGCCGCGCTGGTCGGATCAATTATTCATGGAACAACACTCGTAACTGCTGACACCAGAGGGTCTGCCGGCACCACGATGCCCGTATTTTTGGCTCTACCCGTCTCTCTCGCGCGTTCCGAGTAGCTGACGTGAGCGAGAGCGACAAGCAGAGACGGAAATATGGAATTCGCGTTGCGGGTGGACCCGCTGACTCTCAACCCTTCGAATTCGGGGAATCCCAATACGGTGTTTGTGTAAACTTTTATGATCGAGACACTCGTAGTCGTAGGTTAAACGTATGCAGGATTGATGTTATGGATTTGATTTACAGTTTAAGGTTTTTAAGCGGCTTTTTATACAATATGTTTCCTGAACCTCACACACAAATTAAAGTTAACTTTATTATCTTATCGCTGTTATGTAAATAAATATTAAAGAATTGACCATGTGGTTTGTTATTAATTCCTTTCTGTTGAGTATGAATTATATTGATTTTATTAAGTAGACCGAGTAAGACCGAATATATTGGCGAATCAATCTCAGTCACATAATATACGTATGACATGTTAATTTAAACATAATTTGATTGAATTATGCATTACAAAGCACCATTTAATCGATATTAGTCGGTTGATACGGATCTATATGCAGCTGCATAATGAAATCAAATTAAAATCTTTATTGCTTGTCACACGGATGTAAGATGACAATCGTTCAACCGTCGAACTGTAGCGTGTAGTACTGTTCCTCCCGGTCATCATCAACAGCCCTTTACAGTCCACTGCTGGACTATGAGCCTCCTCAACTATAGTGGAGGGTTTTGCCATAATCTCCACGCTTGGCAGGCGGGTTGGAGATCGCAGTTTAAAAGATTGATGTTTTTCAGAGAGCGCTGCTGTCCATTCTCTGTTTGATGTGTAGTCCCTAAGTCGCCTCTTACGACACCCGCGGGAAGAGTAGGGGTTGGTGACAAATGTATTCTACTCTGTCGTCACCACACGGCTTCCCGGTCACCTTTGAGTATTCCTATCTAACTCGCACCGTCGCCGTTTCAGGGAGGAGGGCGAAGAGAAGCCGAAGCCGACGGAGAACCAGGACGACGGGTACGAGACGAGCAACAGCGGCGAGGCGGCGCGCCGCAAGCCCTCCAGCGCCGAGGGCTCCCCCGCGCCGCCCGCGCCGCCCTCGCCGCCCGCGCCGCCCGCGCCCGACCCGCCCGACGCGCCGCCGCCCGGCGCGCCCGAGCCGCACGACGCCCGCGACGCGCACGACGCGCACGACGCGCACGACGCGCCCTACGAGCCGCTGCTGCGCGCCTACCCCGAGCCCGAGCCCGACTACCGGCACTTCGAGCCGCCGCCCGCGCACCCCGCGCACCACCCGAGCCTGCCGCACGTGCCGCACCACCAGCCGCACCAGCCGCTCCAGCAGCACCCGCAGCACCCGCAGCACCAGCAGCACCAGCCGCACCAGCCGCACCCCGACGCGTACCACCACTTCCCCTTCCCCAAGTACTCGGAGCCGTACGGCTTCAAGCGCGAGCCCGAGGCGCCGTACGACATGAGCCAGCACCACCAGCAGCACTACGGCAAGCGCGACGAGGAGATGTACAACGGCGTGAAGCGCGAGTGCGAGGACCCCTACTCCTTCGTGGAGGAGGACGCCATGTGCGCCATGATGGCGCCGCACGCGCCGCACCTGCACGACGCGCACGCGCACCTGCTGCACGCGCCGCACCAGCAGCTGCTGCTGGCGCAGCCCAAGAAGCGCGGCCGCAAGAAGAAGATCAAGGACGAGAACGGGTGAGTTGCACACTTCATTCACTGACTCACTGTTGGCTCGTGAGCAGAGGAGGCGATCACTCAACTTTGGCTCGCAATTCATCCGTCAAAATGTTATTCCTATACGCTCTATGTAGCGATGGGCTCCTCGTCTCCTCTTATCACGATAAATATTATGTTTCGTGATTATTTTTTAGGAAATTTGATCTTAATTATTGTGGCTTTTGCTCCTTCTTGTCGTATTGCTGCTAAAAACAATTATTTTCTAAAGAATACTCGTATATACCTAGATACCTACATCGAATTTCAATGAATAGACTACATATAGCAAAATTGGTATGATTTTGAGTTGCAAACACGTATAAAGCGATTGGCTCGCAATTAGCTTTCTTTATCGCGCGAGCCGCAAAGGAGGGCCTTTATCTACCAGCGTCAGTCTTCACGCAATCTATAAACCTGGGTGTCTTTAAATTGTTAATCAACCGATATTTACTATTTCGGTTTCCAGTAGCGTCACTTAGTCTCACGTAAAAAATTTTCATGCTTCAATACTGATAATATAAAACAATATAACGATTGGTTAGATTTTTCAAGCAGTGTATCGGGTCGGTATAAGCGGTTCAACGTCAGAACGTCCCTTAATTACTGAAACTTGGTTGAAAATGTGATTTCAACAGGTTACACAAGCCAACACATTGCAAAAACGGAATCTGAAAATAATAATAACACCAAATAGATCTTGTTCCACGGTACATTGAACTCTGAACATTAGAAATACACGCGGCCTTACGCGAGTAGTGTTCGAAGAGCACCCGGTTCGAGAGTTGGGTAACAAAAATTGGGGTTCGCCACAGTTTCACCGTCCACAGTCCACACACATTCGGCTTCAAAATAACTGTTGAGCTAATTGTTTCGTTAAGAGCGTTTACGCCGTTTGGCGCAAAAACAGTACTTTTTCAACTCGTTACAATCATTAACCAGTAATACTACAAATATGTTATAGGCATAAATAGTTAGGCAATTTCGTCGTCTAAATAGTTAATTGAGAAAATATTGCGATTAGTTGAGTATTCAAGAATTATATCAAGATAAGTCCACACAGGTTTTGTAAATTTCCACTTTAGCGTCAGTTTACAAGCTGAAATTTTTATAAAAATACTGTGAAAACGATTTAACAAACATTTATATCCTATAGCATAGATCCTTGGGCAAATAGTTATCTGAGAAAATTTTTAGATTTAAGCATTTTACAATAAGAAATCACAAATTAAAAAAAAAACCTTTGATAATTTACTATTTGATAAAGAATTTACGTATTTATTATTGATTAGGACTAATGTATACCATTATTTGTAATTATAGAGTCGGTGTTGCAAGATTTGAAGATTTTATAGTTTCTTTGGGCTGTCACTTGACAGCCTGGCACACTTTTACGATGGTGGATCAAAGTATTTTGGTTTGACTATAGAGCGTGAGAACACGCACACAGTCATAATTATTTTAGTGTGAATAAAAATAGCATCGAAATTACCTAAACTTGACATGCCACGCTAGACGTAAACGCTCTTAACGAATAGTGGAAAGTCAACGTTCGCGCAAGTCGACCGTGGCAGCGCGCTAAGGCGAGATTTATCGATCTCGGTGACAGTAAAAAGTGTCGGCGGTCCAGTGCAGCACGCAGGAGCACGCCGCGCGGGCTGCGGCCGAACGCCGAAAATACGCATTTCGGCCACATAATCGCACAATTAAACAACTGTATTAAACTTTAATTAGATACAATTAAATGAATCATGTAAAAAACAATAATAAAAACATATTTTAATCAAAAAATATTCATAAATATAATAAAACATTCATTGCCTAACATTTTGACAACTTAATTGAATATTTGTCTTGCAAGTAGATGCACTTAAACCGAATAAAAGAAAAAATGGGTGAGAAAATGTTGACAAAATACAAGATTTTGCACTACCGCGGGCAAAGTCGCGGGTTTCTTTGGATAAATATTTTATAAGATCTACATATAAAATCCAAAAGTTAAGTAGTTTCGGCCATTTGATTATTCATTGCAATTTGCAGCTTTGATATATGCAGTTATTTACGGTTTCATTTGGATGCATTAAGGCAGTGCGTTATAAAGATATTACATGTACGATGCCGTTTCTACTTCCTACAAAATTTTACCAAATATGAACGAAAAAATATAGTTATGACTTCAATTAGATATCGGCCGGCCGTATCAAAAACAATGCCAATAAGTAATAAGTGTATTTATATCAACATTCATATTCACAATATTATGTAGTTAAATATTAATACGGTATTTTGAATTTAGAGAAACTTGTGTTTCAAAATAATGTAAATTCACGTTAGATACTTCCGAAAAAGATTGTAGAAATGTTAGTAGTAGTAAAATGAAAAGTTCATCTCAAAAAACAAAATGTAAGATAAATACAGATAAAGCGCGATGAGCCGATTGGCGGGCTTTCAACTCGTTCATTCAAGTAGTACCTGACAATGTAAATATTATTGTAATAATAAAAGCAATATTTCATTCAGCCGGTGTTGTAGCAAAAACTAATTCATTCCTGGTTGCGCGATCCTCGTGTGCGCCACGTGCCGAAAGTGCACTTGTTGATTTAAGAATTTGCCCGTTTATTTGTTTTATCGTATTGTTAGTAAATAATAAAAGTGCCTGTAGTATTTTTATCTCGTGCGCTTAAATGCCATGTGTTGTAGACTGGCGTACATAAATCACGATATCCACTGAGAGTATCTGCTACTGAATCAATTAATTAAAATCGACGACCACGGTCAAGGTGACTTCGGTTGCCAACTGAGGTTCGCCCTTGAGTGTTAGGCGTAATATAGGGATTTTTGTAATACAAGTGTTTTAGGAGTATGTTAAATTGAAGATGACATTATAAATGGGGTTTTAATACGCGTCTGGTATTTGTAGCTGCTGAAAGTTTTAGAAAAGTGTATAAATAGACCAGGGAAGTGCATTTTCGGCCTGACTTGTAAAAAAACCACTAGTTGGTAGCAAAAGTGCTTGGCACGCGGTGCAATGCGGTGTCGTAGGTATATTCGTAGTCTCAAAATAATATTTTAGGATGGCATTCACATTCTTGTCGTGCATTTGTGAGTTCCAATCTGCAGTGCATTAAGAATTTTATTGTACAATTGGATTCGTTCATGACAGCATCCTACTAGGTTGAGTGAGAGAAAGGTAGAGCCAACAATTCTCAAGCAGAGTAGGGTTTCTGGCGCCGGTAACCTTTTTCACGTGAGGCTCCGCACGTGTGCAATATCCGTTGTGCAACTAAGATGCCCCTATGCGTTTGACCCCAGCAGTCCCGCGGTAGTGTGGGGCTAGTGTCGGGCACGTTGGTCCAGCGGGGTGGTGTGCGTGCGGTGCAGTGCGACACAATTAGTGCGTGCGGCCGGTGACCCCGCCCGAATTAACGCGCGACCCACTTGCCGCGTGGAACCACCGTCGTCATGTTACGTCACTATTCCTTAACATCCACGTCATGAATGCCTATAATATGGCACCCCTGGTACGTCATGAAGCACCTAAAATCTGTTCAGGAAAGTCGTAAAATAACTGGCGCATCATTCGTCAACCTACAATTGTTACTACATGGTATACCTGGTTGAAATAGAGTTGCCCCTGAGAAGCTAAGGAGTCTGCTCGTGTAAACTTATTCTGACGTTCCGGGTTAGGCTCTGATTGATCGGGAATTCTAGAGAGCTATTTCTTCTAGACAACCCAAGAAGTTTTAAACAGTTGCTTCTCGGATCAATTTATCTTAAAGCTACTGGCCTATGCTTGGGCTGTCTGGAAGAAATCTTAATAGGTACACGAAATAAGATAGGTAATGTCTATTTTAGAATGCACACCGCATTCGGTCTATTCGATTGATAGAATTCAGGCTCGCGTTGCTGAGATGTGGTTCTAAGAACCAAAACCCACGCAAAACACAAATGGGTTGGAATGGAACTCAAAATTATTAAAAAAATGTTGAACGTTAACAATCGTATAATGCTCGGAAACTTTGAAAAAATAAAATAAAATAAAGACAAGTCACGTATTAAACTCCAAATTAAAATTATTTATTTTGAAAAAAGTTAATACTTACTCGTAAAGAAGTAAATTGCATACATAATGTGCTTAGAACTTCAACCACGTTTACTACTTTACAGTCAAGTAAACTAAAGTCAGCTGGCAAAAATAATATAATGCAATACAGGGACAGGTGGCTTGATGGCGTAAACCTTGCCTATATTGCGGAAGTACCATTCTAGAGCAGGTTCATTTGGAAACCTAACTATTCGTGACCTAACTTAGGTCTTTTACTAAGATGTCTCACACTTAAACCTTTGTCGTTTACGAATTGATAACCCTCACAAAAACGGCCCGACTGGCATACGAGTTGACCACGTGACTTCATAAATATTCCATTTTTGCAATTCACTTGCAGAACGCTAAAATGCAAAACTACATGACTGTTACAAGTTATACACAATATTTTAAAAGTAAAACAGTTGTATAATCCTGCGTTTCCACAGTTATATGAACAGATCCTTCACCATTTGTATTTTTGGTTGTGCGGCGCGTGACGTCATCTATTGCGTCATACTCCCGCACCTATAACCTGTTCGATGAAAGTGCACAGTAAACTTGAAAGCAACTTGTTATACAAAAATAAATACAACAACATAAGCACCAGTCACTTCTTCCTATTTTTGTGAACAAACCATACAAGACATCTTCCGCTAGAGTAATAACAGTCATTTATGTCAACACGATTGTCGAATATGCAGTAATAGTTGGAGGCTAGTGTTCGGTTTTTCTGGAGTAGGTAGTATGCTTTATATCTATCCATTCTATTAGCCTGTAACGACCTAACGATTGGTCACGACATGGATCGAACTCAGGTCAGTGTGACCAGGAGGGGCGACTCTCCTACTACTAGACCAAGATTGAAATTTGTTTTCCGTACTACTCGCATTCCTTC